TAATGTGCGGTAACAGTGAACTCAATCAAGTGTTCAAAAGCTTGGTGATAAGCTTATTGAACACTACATATAATCTAATCCATTTGAACTCTATCCATCTGCAAGCATTCTCCTACTTAGGGAGCAACATAATAGAGGTAGTAGCAAATTCACGAAGCAGATCACCACTGTCAAAGAAATCTGAGATTGCCTTGTACTTATCATCTAGAATAATATCCTAACAATGTTGTAAGAACAAGGATGATAATCCATCTAGGCCTACAACATTGTCAATGTCTATACTAAAAGTCATCTCCCAACCTCATGAATCAAAAGGGACGGTTAAGTGCCACATTATTTGCTTCTATCACGAGCCTAGGAATGATGTCTGGACGGATAGGGTCTGAAGGCTGTGAAGTAGCAAATAGGAGATCCTAGTAAAAAGAGATAATTGAAATTTGAATATCGATATTAGTAGATAGAGCGTCTTATGCTTGAATGATGATATACCTAATACGTGACTTGTTTCGACGTCCTTGGACCATTGCATAAAAGTATCAAATGTTGTAGTCCCTCATATTGATAGAATTTTTTACTTCCAAAAGTCCTCGTCAATAGATAAGGTTCGTTTCAGATCTACATTGCATGATGTAGTAAGTCATGAAGTTTCGGAATAGGGTCTCTATCATTCTCTATCTCTACTTCGTCGATCTTATCCTCAGCTTCCTTTACCTACTGAAAAGTATCACCAAAAACATGTCTATTCCACCATTATAGCCTATGTTTTAGCCTAAAGAACTTTCCCAAAAGAGCAGCCAGCCCCGTAAAAATGTGTAGGGAGTGCACTTCTAAGAGACGAAGATTGAAAAATCATGATGCTTGGTCCATACGTTGATGAATAAAAAAGGCCTGGGCCCCATTCATTATTAGAAGTCTGTTTGTAGAAACAAAGGTAAGTGATCACATGATGGCCAATTCAAATGCCTCATAGTAAGCTGTCGATAAAAGGCTATAGATATAAAATTAATGAGTACTTTATCCAATCTCTTCATGACCTAACCATTGCCTCGACCATTGGTCTAAGTGTACTTCATCCTAATGAACCCTGGGTCTTCCAAACCATAACCCATCATCATATCAGAGAAAAAGGGTCGTTCATCTAAAAAAATGTAGTGATGACCCATCTACAAGTCTTTCGTAATTGCCAGATCACATGAGACATAGATAGGAGTCAAGTGGATAGGTTGTGCTAGCCTGGGATCATCAAGTCTAACATGAAGGAACTAGAGGTTATTATTAATAACAATAATAGCAGTAACACGTTCCAAAAAAATCTATATATTATTCGACTCATTTTAAACTCCATCGTTAAAGTGCATCTATCATCGAATATATTCAAATATATGTTGATGAACAAAGGGCTCCAATATGACTAAACGATAAACTTGATGAAGCTGAATAAGTCTCTTTAGGCCCCAGTAAGTAGCTACAATAGCTACATCTTTGGCATTCCATATAATGATACTCATAAGGACGGGTGATATGATGAGGTATCATGTGACTGACTCCAAGTGACCCTCTTCGGGAATGGGATATGAGTAGATCATGTGTGTTTCTTTTCAGCGTATGCTAATTTTAGCAATAGACATGGTGATTACAATGACGACATTTTGGCCATTCAAGATAATATTTTCTTGTAAGGTCATTTGTATGTCGTTCTATCTCACAATTTTGCCTAACACATGCAAATATGGCCCACTTGTAACGTTTCTTTTGGATCCTACTGCACATTGATTTTCACCTATTAATGTACTAATTTCAGCTTTGGATTGGAAATTCCTTACTTGTGGAATTGGAAGATCGTATTGTGAATTCGCCTACTGATATGGATAAGATGGCTATGCAGAAAGTGTTTGGATTGTTTTACTTGGTTTAGCTATGAATTGTCACAGCTGACCTAGCCTGATTAAAACTTCTGTTTGCTCCTTCATATCTCAACATCCGTCTATGTTATGGCTTTTTGCTTTGTAGCATCTATAATATTTGTTTTGGTTGGTTCTGATTAAATTCTTCTTTAGAAAGAGAGGTTTACGAAAAACCTCTTTATTCCCTACTTTAATAAAATCTCCTTCCAAGGTAGTGTTCATGGTATGATATTCTTGGAATATCTCTGGATATGGGCGATGTCGTTTTGTATCTTTCATATATTTTTATCCTTTGTCCAAGCTAAATCATAGGACTTTGCCTTTCTTTCCGCATAATCTGAGTTCATTTCTTTTGTACCTATGCATTTCTAAGCTCGGTTTAGAATTTCATGGTAGGTTTTTGGACCATCTTCATATACAAACCACATAACCTCGTCCTTGGTCTTAGTTTGGATAGTGCTACCATGAGGGTGGTGTTGTTAGAAATTTCTTTACCTCCATGGGTTTTTTATTAAATCTGTTGAGGTAGGTTTTGAGGGACTCACTTTGCCCGTTGTTAGGTACGTCCATTTTCTAATTGATCTTTGCTGTAAATTTTTAAAACACCTTTGTGCTTTTATCTTCCAGGGTTAAGGGAAAAGCTCTACACATTATGGCATCACCAACTCCCTAAAATTCCATATATGATGTGTACTTCTCTAAGTGATTGAGGAGATCTCCCTCTCATTCATATCTAACAAGCTTGGGAATTTTTAGCTGGTAGGGTTTCATCCAGTATGCCTCCATAAAAAAGAGAGTGGCGATTGGCAAAGTATTAGTCCATTACCCATTTGTTATTAGCCTTCAGGTCGACTATTTGTTTCTTCAGTTGGCTTATTTTGGGTAAGGTCAGGTTGTTCATATATGGGCATAAGCGAATGCTAAGTACCTAACCTATTGAACACAATTCTTGTTTTCCTTAGTATCCATTGTGTCTAAGGTGGAAAGTTATTTACTTCGTTTGTTTTACTTTTGGAGGACTCCTCCTCAACAAAATACAGGTCATCTGACCATTGGGGTAGTGGTTGCCTATTTTTGTTTTATTCTCTGCACAGCAATTGAAGGCTTTCTATGGCCTCTTTCATTGAAGTAAGCTAAGGGTGGTTGGCTTCAGTGAATTTGTTCGTTCTTAGAAAATTTTTGGGAGCACTTATTTGTTGGGATTAGTGCAGGAATGATTTATGGATGCTGAGCTGTCGCTGATGATTTTTGTGGGATGGGATAATACTGTTTGTTGCCTACTCCCTTAGCTCTACCTTAGGAGAGTACCATTTGTCCTTATCTATAGACTAGAAGACCACACCACTTGGCCGTTCAACATTATTTCAAATATAGTGTCGACCTAGAAATGTGTAAGACCACCTTGAGTTTTGGCTACCTAATTGATTATTGAGGTTGGTCATGTAGGTCATCATGACTGCATAGGTAATAATGATCTGCAATTGGGTAATCATTACTCGCTTGTAATTTGGTTGGAAATTAGGGGTTGATGTTATCACTGGCGAGGCGAGTGGTGTAGCAATGATTATAGATCATGTTTTTGCGAATTATGAAAGCCATATGTCCAAAGCAATCTTATTTTCATGGTGTCCGATCTCAAAATTAGCATTGGAGCAGTGTCCTGAATATTTATTTAATATAGTGTGAGATCGGACCTCAACAAAATTTATAGTTAAATCTCTAATACTTAACATGCGAATACGTGGAATGTTCTATTGAAAATGAATGTTTAACTTAAATGAAGTATTGTATAAAGAATTAATTTGATACTAAATACATAGAATCACCTTACTCTTAAATAGGAATGACAATTTGAACCGTCAAAATCGAAAATCACGATAAACCGAACTGAATGGGGCAAAAAAAATCGAACCGATGGTGCAATGAGGCAGATATGATTTGTATTTTAATGAACCAGTTCTTGGCGGTGCGGGTATGATATTTACGCCGTCGAACCGAAACCGAACCGATTACCCACTAAAAAAATAAATAAATAAAAAAATTGAATTGATTGTTGGGCTTTACACTACTTTTTTATCTAGCCCAAAACAAAATCCCCCCCCCCCCCCCCCCCTCCCCCTTCCCCCCACCCCCCCCCCCCCCCCACCCCCCCAAAAAAAAAAAAAAAAAAATTGATTTGGATGAAGAAAATTTTCACACACACGACTCCTTTTATCGTTAAATTTTTTCTATTGTATGTAGAAAATTTTACTTCTTTATTATACTCTAGAATTTGTGCAACGTTTAGCAAAAAGGAAGCTGACGAAGAGGTACATTTTTTTATTTAAATTTTAGTTAAGACCATTCTGGAATATGTAGTATCGTTGTATTCTCTACTTACGTTTCTTATTTACTATATAGGAATCAACTTTGAGTGTTGATCGAATCAAGTAACTTCAATACACAACAATTAAGAATGAAGGAAAAGTTTAGTATTATTATATTTATAATATTTTTTTGTTAAATTTGTATTTTACAATTGAAAATTGGGATAATGTTTGGATTTTCGTTTGGAATATTGTGTTTTTGTTTTCATTGACTTTTTTCATAAATTGTTTTATATCAATTTGACGGATGAACCTATAAAAAATAATTTATTTTCGTGGTTATTAACCGAATCGAATCGTGCCGAACCGAGATACGAATCGAACCGATTTACGTGGTTATAGTGCGATTATGGTATGATTAAAAAATTGGTGGTGCGATTATGATTTTGGCCGAACCGACCCATACCGAACCGTTGCCAACCCTACCCTTAAATTAAGACCATTTTCGATCTCATTTTGGAGCTCATCTTTAAATTCATTTTTAATCATATATTTCATCGAATCCATAATTTTATAAAGATTTTAATTACTTATTTTCATAAATTTTTATTAGAATATACTAAATATTTATTTTTATTTATTTATTTTATTTGGGGGAAAACCAAACAAGGCTAAAACTTCTAATTGCAAATGTGGTCACCGACAGATAATTCAGGTTTACTTTTGAAAAGAATCTACCGAAGACTTGCAGGCAGGGGAAGTAAAAAAAAAAAAAAGAAAGATAAAAAGGGTACTTTATTGAATTCAATGGTCAATGAATGGATAATGAAAAACTTGAAATTCTTCAGAGAGTCCTCATTCTTTTTCTCTTCTGATGGAGATGGTGAAGCTCAGAAAATTGTCATTTTCGAATGCCTATTCTTCTCATTCTGTATATTCTTTTAATTACATAGTTTACATCTGCATATGCTTGCTCTTATTTGTCACCAATGCAAACGGATTTAGTCCAACAATACAGCTTCCAACATCTGGGCTTTTCAGAAACACTTCCTACCTATCCAAAACTCTAGTTCTCAATATAAATGATTTTGGTGCCCAAGGAGATGGATTCACTGATGACACCAAGGTAAAATATTCATATACGGGTTTCCAAATAGGTACAAATTATATTGCATTTCACCTGTTTTAACTTTTTACTGAATGAAAACTGGAAAGGTTTTACTTTATTGTTCTAATGAGTAGCTTTGTAATGCGTTTGGCATGTCTTGAGGTGATTGGGATGATTATTGGTTGGTAAAGGATTAATAGGCCTGTGTGCTTTAGTGAAAATATTTGAATTAATAATTTGGGGGTAATGGAGATTTACTACATCTGTTCATGTAAAAAAGAAGTATAAACCTGTAAAAAATTTATGGTCGGTTTGGGGGCATGACGGAGATCCCATGTGGCCAAATGCAGCTCTCCATCATATTTTCCCTTTTCACTGTCTGGCAGCATGATGAAAATATTATGGAAAATTTTAGCAGCAGTTAACCTTCAGTTTGTACCACCAACGGTCCCAAACTTTTGGAAAGTCAGCACTTGGGTCTAATTTTGTCCATTTGATCGTCAGTTGACCAAGAAAATGCATTTTGACCAAATTTAAAGAGGATAAAATGGTAAATTCGTCATTATTCCACATAAAATAATTAAAAAGAAAATGGTGAAAGGAAGGTGAATAGTTTCATCTTTCCCAACCCACTCGACCCCCAACCCATGCCAAAGAATTTGACGGCAACGTCTCCAACCCCGTCGCTGACACTACTGTGCTTGCCATTGGCACCACCTCCCAACCCATCTTCACTCCCAGATCAATTATAATCCAAGACAAACAACAAATCAAGACTTATAAATAAAAACTCATCAAGAAAATGAATAATTACAATGGTGGATTTGGTAAAAATGAAAAAGTGGAAGGTATGTAAAGTTGAGATTTGAAAGGAAACGAAAATGGAAAGAAAAATCAGATTTTTTTAATGACTTGCCTATGGATTAAGAAATGGGAGAGTGCACTGTGATGTGTGGTATGAGTTCTTGCTTGAGACGAAAATCTTCATTTTAATCAAATTCAGATGCAAAGATGAAATGGATGGAATCCATTCATCTTCCTGTGAATTTTTTTGTGGGTTTGGGGTGAGGTGTGGTAGTGTTGGTTTGGAATGATGAATCTGTTCATCTTCCTGTTAATCTTTTTAGGGTAGGGTAGGGTGGGGTGGGGTGGGGTGGGGTGGGGTGGGATGGAGGAAGATGAAATTGTTTATCTTCCTTTTACTTTTTTTTTTTGGTGTTTTTTGTTTTAATTAATTTATGCAGAATAATGAGGAATTTCCCATTTTGTCCTTTTTAAATTTGGTTGAAATATATTTTTTTGGTCAACTAATGGTCAAATGGATGGAATTTGAACCTCAGGTGCTAATTTTTTAAAAGTTTGGAACCGCTAATGGTATAATTTGAAGGTTAAGGTAAAATCTGCAAAACAATTTGAAGATTTGGGATCACTGTTTCAATTTTACCAAAATATTATGCTATCTAGCTTGTTATATGGGTAAGTTGAGGTTATGGATTAAATATCTATGCTGGTACCTATGTTGCGGTTTAGTGTGCTGAAAAGCATTGGTAGGACCTTCGTATTAAACATTAGGACTCCATCTTAAAAGTCAACATTTTCAATATGAGTAGTCAAAACCCTTATAAATAAGTCTATATTTTCATCTTTATTCGATGTGAGATTTTATCTCTTAACATGCCCCCACAAGATGGTGGTTCTTTTGAGCATACCAATCTTAAAATTTGCATGCTTATTATTTTTTTCAGTTTTAATCGAATCGAATTGTTCGATGAAGTTTAATAGGCTCTGATACCATATTGAGATTTGAGGTTCTATTAAGGTTAATTTTTTTTAAGACGAATAATTCAAACTCTCATAAGTTAGTGCATGTTTTCATCTTTATTCGATATAGGATTTCATATATTTAAAACTCTGTTGACAAATTGTGCTCTCACGTTCCGGGGGCACCGAAAACTTTATCACCATGACCATTATCAACCTCAATAATGCCTCTACCAGTGATTTTATTAAGAGGAGAAGGTTGTGTTAAACTGGGAATGGAGTTCCCCATACCTCTGGTGCATCTATGGAGTTTGGTATGTCGTACTAGACATGATTGGACTATGTAATAAATTCATTTTTCATCTTTGGTACCATCTAATGCCCAATCCACCCTATGAAACATGCCACTATGGTTTGGAAGTGCCAAACATGAAGCCCAACAGTGCGCTTGTCTACTCTTTTTCCCTAAATACGCATACCCTGGTATCTCACTAAATGCTTCAGGTCCTTGTTAAGTCTGTTTGATGTGTTTTGAATAAGATTTTTAGGTTCTTGATATTGGTTTTGAGGATTTCAACTTGTTCTTGAAGGATTAGGTGGGTTTTTTTGTTTGAGTTTAACGAATTTTATGTCATAGGTAATGGAAAGGAGGCTAGTGCCTAACACCAATATGGCTTAATTTTTGTTATTTCTTAATTATTTTCTTACATATGTCCACACGAATATGATGCTTCTTAATAATCCCTCCATATCCTTGAATTGCACTCTGAAGCAATCCCCCAATCCGATTTGGGTGCATAAGCACTCACACTATTGGTGATGTTATCCCCTTTCCTAATGATGGGAGATATACTGTCATTAAGGTTCCTATCTGCCAGAATCGTCGTTCCTTAGCTCAAGGAACGTGTAAGGCTCTTGCCTTTTACGTTACAATGCCCTATGCAACCTACCTAACTCAACCCCCTAATTATCGTGTATTTGTATTGACTACTCTTAAATATTAGGTCTTACAGAACAACACAGGCAAAAAGTTACATTGATCTCCTCTCTGCAGAAAACATAAATCAAATTTGTTGTCCCACAATCAGACAGGTTTCTTGAAATTTGGCACAAATCAATAATTGAATGGAGAAAAAGACAAACATATGAATCATTTTATGCTTCCATGAGTGTTGAGAGAGAGAGAGAGAAGTTAATGGGGGAAGATTGATAAAATGTTGTAGTATAAGTTTGAAGTTTGGAGATTTTTGTTTCACTAAACATAAGAAGTGGAAAATTTTGGTTGTCACACATGAGGCTGTGAGTTCTCTTACAACCTTCAGGTGCTCCATGATGAGCTTCACACCCTTTGGATCCATAAGTACAGGCATGTATTCCTACAGTTCATTGTGTTGTTTACTACCTACGTGAAGAAAATTCAGGCCTATCGGTTATTCTATTTGCCTCCATCGCCTCTACTTACCTTTCACAGTTGATTGCTTTGTGATGACCTTTCACTAAAAGCAGTATAATGCAGCATGTGATCAGGTTCAATTAAAAAATGTTATCTTCTAATCCTAATGTGATTTGATGGCCTTCAGACTCTGGAAGATATTTGGACGTTAGCTTGTTCATCATTATCACACTCAAAAATTGTAATCCCTGCTGGAAAATCATATCTGGTTCGACCAATTAATTTTGCTGGTCCTTGCCATTCAAAGGTGACCTTGAGGGTAAGTGCTGGAATTCCGTTTACTCAATATGCAGCAGTGCTTCAAATTCAATATTGAACTTGATTACCTGAAATCTCTACAATTGGGTGTATTTCTCGCAACGTCCATAGATTTCTGGTACTATTGTTTCGCCAAGAGATCCTGAGGTCTGGAAGGGTTTGAACATTCATAGATGGTTCTATTTCCATGGAGTAAAGAACCTCATTATAGAAGGGGGCGGAGTATTAGATGGGAGGGGCGAGGAGTGGTGGGCTCGATCATGCAAGATAAACAAAACAAATGTAATTCCATCTTTCTTTGTGATATTTTGCATACGAGTATAATCCTGTTTTGTTTTCTTGAAATATATCTTTCTCCTAAAATGATGTCTAATACTGGTATCAACTTCTTTTTTGCAGCCCTGTACTCACGCTCCAACGGTTAGAGCTGTTTTGGTTTTATCTCTGCTTTAACTTCCATATTCTATTTCACTGGAAAAAATAATTTCTACATCTTGTTGATATTTTTGGCCATTGTGGACTATAATGCAGGCCATTACTTTCCATAGATGCAAGAACTTGAAAGTCAGAAATCTCACCACAATTAATAGTCAACAAATGCACATGGCATTTACTACTTGTCGACGGGTTGCAGTGTCACACCTCAATGTCTTGGCACCTGCTGATAGCCCTAATACTGATGGAATCCATATAAGTGCCTCAAAGCGTGTAAAACTCACTAATATCATTGTTAGCACAGGTTCGTTGTCTCTGAAAGAGTTAATATGTTCAGAAATAAGAGGAGAAGATGAAGATTGCTGCATTTAGCCCCAAACAAACAAATAAACTAAAAGGGAATATGGGCTTTTCTTTAGCAATTTCTGATTTGTCTTCCCCAAAATGGAAAGAAAAAATGCCTTTTCCTTAAAACAGAAAAGCAAACTTTCAAAGCATTACTTGAATTGTTTCTTCACATCATAGGATGTGCTCAGTACACTTGATGATAAAATGTTATTTAAGTAGGTGCTGCAGAAAGCTTATCTGGTTGCGTTTCCTGTAGATGGGGACATAATTGTCACTCTACCTGATCTAAGTCCAAATTTTGCTATTTCTGTGAATTGTGATTCCTAAACTGTATATTTGAAAGAAACTAATTGTTTCAAAAGATGTTGGTAAATTCCCAAATAACAATTTAGATTTCAGAAAATTGATTTATGTCATGGATGACCTGGCTGCATACTGTGTAGGGAGGTCTGAAAATCCGTATTCAGAAGACAAAGAATGAGATAGGCACCATAAGAGTCGAGCCTTGATGTTGTTTGTGCAAGTTAACCAACAATCTAAACTAATTTTTTTTTACGTTCCCAGACATAGTTCAGATTCCCTTGTATTTCATTTTCTGGAAGCTGGGGAGAGAATTCCACCCCCTCCCCCACACTCGAAGAGGGACAAATGAAATAGTTAAAGGAGCAGCATCATGATGAAGAATGAAAGCTCCTCTGGATAATTGATGTATAACCCAGTTTGATAGTTGCCTACTGGTTCTCTCTGCAAATGTCTAACTTTATAATTGTCGGAACTGCAGATTTACAGATTTCTCTAGGCACTCCATTCTACCACTGCTAAAACTATTGATCCGTAATGCTTGCCTCAGAAGAAAACATGTGCACTGAAATTTGAAATTTGCTTATGAGCAGTTAGCAAATCTTGTTGGATTACACTGTGATTCTGCTTTGCATAGTTCTTTCTTTAACCCTGAAATTATCATAAACTATTGGCAGGAGATGACTGCATATCCATAGTTAGCAATTCTTCAAGGATCCACATGAAAAACATTGTGTGTGGACCAGGACATGGTATAAGGTAATACAATGCTGACAATAAATTTTGAACGACCTATGTACAAATTTTTAAGTGATAATGGTTTATTTGGCAGCATCGGAAGTTTGGGAAAAGCAAACTCATCAGCTTATGTGCAGAATGTCAGTCTTGATGGAGCATATCTGTTTAACACGGAGAATGGATTGAGGATTAAAACATGGCAGGTAATCTTTCCTTACAAAACGCACTTGTCATTCTATGGAAGTAACATTTTCAAGCTAATAACATCTACTGTCTCCATTCTTGACCTCTTTGGGGTCCCTATTTTCTGATTTAACAGGGAGGCAGTGGTTTTGCAAGAAAAATCAAATTCCAGAATGTTTGGATGAAAAATGTCTCAAATCCTATCATAATAGATCAGTATTACTGTGATTCTTCCAGTCCTTGTCCAAACCAGGTACGAAATTTGCTTTAAGTGTTGAGTTTTCGATCAGGATGATAAACATTAATTCCTGTGTACAAAGTCTCATCACTTCCGTGTCCATGCCTCTGGAACATATTCTCCCGCAACATGAAGTACTTGTTAACATTGCAGAACAAAGAAATATATGCTACGTTTGCCTTATTTAGACCCTGGATTTCTTAAGAAAGGAAGAGAAAACATAATGAAAATTTTCAATCTGGCCAAGTAAATAATAGTCAAATTTGAAAAATTCGGGTATTAACTAAATATCATGAACTGGGAAAGAAGTATGACGTACAATACTTGGACCTTTTTCCATAGCACTCACTGAAGCTCCAGTTTTTACCTGACATTTCACTGCCCTCTCTGTGTGAGTATATTTGTAAAATTATTTTGCAAGTTGAGTTACTCTTATCATTCTACATGTACCTTGCAGACTTCGTCGGTCAGTATTGACAGTGTCTCCTTCCGTAATATCAGAGGAACTTCAGCTACGGAGGTAGCAATCCTATTTGCGTGCAGTGAAAGCTTTCCATGTAGAAGGTTGTATCTGAAAAATATTCAACTCACATCGGCCTCTGGTGGAATTACAAGATCATTCTGCTGGGAAGCATACGGCAAAAGCTCAGGGCTGATTTACCCTGCTCCTTGCATTTCATCTGGTGAAATGATAATCGGAGTGAATGTTAAGTCGAACTCTACTCAACGGCATAAAGTTGATTATGCTTTACTGTAGACGTAGAAGCCAAGAAATGGTTATACCAGCTACTGTATCAACTTTGTTGAACTATTACCTCCAAGGAAGCTGGAAGACAAGCGAGATTGCTGATTTCCGAATGATCTCAGTGAGCAGTCATTTATTACTTGGAATATTACTATACACTCTTCAAAATTGTGATCACGCTAAGTTGCATATATCGTTATTCTAAAAACCCAACTACAATATTCTTGTATTCTAATTAATTTGCTTCTTATGTATCATACAAGTTGCTATTGGTGATGGGACGGCAAAATCAGAATGCAAGTGCGTAAGGGTAAGTTTGCGATACTAAAGGGTGAATTGAACAATATGCTAGCTATTTGGTTCTATTTTGAAAGGTAAATTTTGTTTTGATTTTAAACACGAGAAGGCTGAAATGGTTGTTGGAAGAATACAACGGATTTTATTAAATTGTATATCAACAAGAATTAAATAATTTGGAATATAGTTAACACATAAGTGTTTTAGAAGTTATCCTAGTAGCTTGCTTTAAAAAATTCCTTTTGATCTTTGATCTCCTTGATTCCACTTTCAAGCCTTTTTGTTTGATTTTCTTAGTTCTCCTTCAAACCTTTTGGCATTCTCCAGTGTTTTTCAAGAACTCAAAAATAACTATAGAGATTCTTCTTTTTGTGTGTGGGCCAAGAATTTTATTTTTCATATATTAATTAAACCCATAAGAGAATGTATGTGTCTACATATATGGATTTGATTAACAAGACTTTCAATCCCAAAAGAACTTTATCTTTTGATTGGATAGAAGTCTTCAACAAAAAAGATTCGTATTTATCCAAATCATAACCACCATATCTAAAGTTACATGCTCGATACATTTTGGTTTAATTAATTTATATATATTTCTACAGTTAATAATAAATTATAACTCTTATAATTTATTCCGGTTATTAAATTTTTTTGAAGCCACTGAAGGGACCAAACGGATCTCAAGCTCCAATAAATAAATGTTGACTCGGTCAACTCTTAGTCGGTCTAGATAATTTATTAATCAATTTCTATTCCAGTAAAAGAACGTGATTGCACTCTTAATTTAATTGAGATTACTGAAGCTACAATAATTATATCCTCCGACAAATTGCTCTTACGTATTACCCTCGTTAATCACGTTTAATATTTGGAACTGGGTGAAATGACCAAAATGACCCTTTTCTAAATAAACATTAAATCCTCAACCCATTTTCTATTTGATAGTTCTATGTGATCACACCACAATATTAATTCAACAATCATGTCGAATTACCGAGCTCAAATTTAATTGTTCATTAAAAAATCTCTTGAGATCATGATCACGTCTATTATATAGGTTACGGATTCCATATTGCGAATATATGTTCTCTAATAATTTCACTTTAATTTCCAAGGCATCGAGATTTCGATTAACAATTTAATCTCACTCATTGATACCTAAAAAAACTTCTAGTTAGTAATCAGAGTTCATTATTTGCTCAAGATTAAGGTATTACGTACAATAGTCTAGTGAAATTAAATTCAAGTGGTCAATTCCATAAATTAATTTCACGTGGTTCAATCCAATACATTCCAAAATGTACAATCAATTTTATTGCTGAAGTTAAGATCAACTTTAAATAAAATTGAGACAATCTTATCAAAATAAAGTGTTCGTCTTTATTTACCGATTGTGGACAATAAACATCAAGTCGAATTATAAATCAAATCTTTCTGTGTTTAACAACTTAAACACTTAATTTATAATATAAGTCGATCCATGAACAAAATGCAAGCTCAAATTAATATAAACAATTTATTGGAAAAACAAATTGTTATCTTTTATTTCAAAATTTCACGAGTACAAATAAATTTACTCGAAGGGCTAAAGTTAAACTAACAATTCTCTCACTAGCCCTAAAGTAAATGAGACATGTTAAAATAAACCCATATTTTCAGTATGTCCCTCAAAGCTCCTAGTAGGTAAGCTCTTGGTAAAGGGATCAGTAAGATTTTCTGCAAATGCTATCTTGCACACTGTCACATCTCCTTATTGAACGATTTTCCTAACTAGGTGATATTTTCGTTCAATGTGTTTTCCACGTTGATGGCTTCTTGGTTCTTTTGCATTCGCCACCGCACCACTATTATCGCAGTACAAAATAATGGGACGCGATGCTGAAGGAACCACCTGAAGGTCTAGCAAAAACTTCCTTAGCCATACTGTTTCACAAGCTACGACATACTCTGCCTCTATAGTGGAGTTAGCGATACAATATTGCTTGACACTCTTCCATATAACGGCACCGCCACCCGATGTGAACACTGATCCTGATGTGGACTTGCGAGAGTCTCTATCAGCTTGAAAATCAGAATCAGTATAACCCATAGGAACCAAATCTGGAGCTGAATAAACCAACATATAATCTCTAGTTCTATGAAGGTGCTTGAGTATATGCTTAACAGCAGTCCAGTACTCAGGTCTTGGGTTCGACTGATATCTACTGACTATTCCAACAGCATAACAAATATCAGGTCGTGTATATAACATCGCATACATGAGCCTTCCTATAGCTGAGGCATAAGGAACCTGTTTAATGTATTCCACTTCACTAGGAGTTTTAGGACAATGTTCCCTTGACAAGTGAATTCCATGTCTAAAAGGCATTTGACCTTTCTTGGAGTTTTACATAGAAAACCTAACCAGTATTTTGTCTGTGTATGAAGCTTGGGAAAGAGCAATCTTTTTGTTTTTCCTGTCCCGAAGGATTTGGATACCTAGAACATAATTGGCTTCTCCCAATTCCTTCATATCAAATTGTTGTGCCAACCAGTTTTTGACTCATATCAATGCTCCAATATCATTCCCCATGAGCAAAATGTCATCAACATACAATATGAGAAAAATGACCTTGTTGTCTTTAATACGCTCAAACCTGATGTTCCAAGACCTAGACGCCTGCTTTAGTCCATAAATAGACTGCTTTAGCTTGCATACATTATGCTCTTGACCTTTTTGGATAAAACCTTCTGGCTACATCATATATATGCTTTCATCAAGATTTCCATTAAGGAATGCAGTCTTAACATCCATTTGCCATACAATGGATAAGAGGATTCTTATAGACTTAAGCATGGCAACAGGCGAGAAGGTTTCTTCATACAATAACTTCTCGTTGGGTGAAACCCTTAGTAACAAGTCTAGCTTTAAAGGTCTCCACCTTTCCATCTACTCCTCTTTTCCTCTTGTAGACCCATTTGCATCCTATGTGTTTTATCCCATTTGGCACATCTACAAGATCCCAGACTGAGTTGGTGTACATGGATTTCATTTCTAAATCTATAGCACTCCTCCATTGGTCAGCTTCTGTATCTTCCATAGCTTCTTTGAATGAGATGGGATCCTCTTCTTGCTCAGTAAAGACTGCCTCAAAAGACTCTCCATAGAATAAATATCTGGATGGTAATCGAGTGATTCTCCCACTATGTCGAAGCGGTCGAGGCTCTTGGTTGATTGGAACTTCTAACTCTCCTATGACTTCTTCTTCTGTATCATCACCATGTGGTGATGTAACAGTTGGGACTTCATCCTCTGTCACTTCCTGTCTTAACACTTCAGCGGGTATGGGAGGTGGGATATCCATTTGTCTCCCACTATGCCTAGAGACTATCGGTGAAGTAGGTATGAATTCTTCTTGAGCAAGTTCATTGTGGATCTCTGGACTAGATGAGCTTGGAATGTTTCCTCTCATTTCATCCAAAAGAACTTTGCTCTTGGATTCGCATTCTTCTATGTACTTGTCCTCTAAGAAGGTTGCATTTGTACTTACAAATACCTTCTTGTTCTGAGGACTATAGAAGTAATATCCTCTCATTCCTTTAGGATACCCTACAAATATACATATTTTCGATCTTGATTCTATCTTATCCATCTTTCCCTTTAGCACGTGTGCTGGACATCCCCATATCCGAATATGTCTTAGATTAGGCTTACGCCCATTCCACAACTCCAGGGGTGTTTTAGGAACAGACTTAGATGGAATCATATTCAATAAGTATATTGCAGTTTGTAGAGCATATCTCCAAAAAGATGTTGTGAGATTTGAGAAGCCTAGCATAGATCTGACCATGTTCAACAATGTCCTATTTTTCCTTTCTGAGACACCATTTTGCTGGGGTGTACCTGGTGCACTCAGTTGGGATAGAATCCCATTCTCTGATAAGTATGTTCTGAAGTCATGGGATAGATACTCACCACCTCGATCTGATCGAAGTGTTTTAATGGTTTTACTTAATTGCTTTTCTACCTCAATCCTGAATTCCTTGAACTTTTCAAGGGCTTCAGACTTGTGAGCCATTAAGTATACATAACCATATCTTGAGTAATCATCAGTGAAAGTGATGAAGTACTCATACCCACCACTAGCTTGGACACAAATCGATACACATACATCAGAGTGCACTAATTCCAAAACTTCTTTGGCCCTATGCCCTTTCGATGTAAAGTATCTCTTGGTCATTTTGCCTTCCAAACAAGATTTGCATATCGGAAGAGATTCCACCTTTAATTCACTTAAAGGACCATCTTTTACCAGTTTTTGGATTCTATTAAGGTTAATATGACCAAGTCTAAGGTGCCACAAGAAAGTTTCATTAGTGGGAGACAATCTCATGCGTTTGTTAGAAGCATTGGCATTATTTATAGAGCCAGCAGCAAAATTTAAAACACAAATTGTTAACCAATTGTCCATGACAAATAAGAGATTTATTCAATTTAATGTCTAGCGCAAACAGTGCAAAAATAACTGAATATCCATGCTCAAATAAACAAGCCACGGAAATTAAATTCCGTTTAGCATCTGGAACAAAATAACAATTTTCTAAATGCAAATTTTTATTGTGCTAAAAAATTAGAAAAATAGATCCTATGGCTCTAGCAGACACCAGTTCTCCACTGCAGCTTCTAAGAGTAAACTCCCCTTCACTAAACTTTTTGGTTACCCGGAACCCCAGCAAGGAATTGCAAATGTGATTAGTGGCTCCAGAATCTACTATCCAGATATCTGTAGAATCAACCACTAAACAGGACTCAATGTAAGATAACGTACCATTACCTGGCTTTTTGCGAGCTAGGTATTCCAGACAGTTCTTCTTCCAGTGACCCTTCTGTCCACAGTGAAAGCAAATATTTTCCCTTGGATTTTTCATTCGTCTTTACTTTCTTAGCTTGTGGCTGTAGGCCCTTCTTGTTTGACTTCTTCCTCTTATTGCCTCCTTTGCCTTTCGACTTGGAAGAGGATGGTCGATCAGAAGAAACATCATGGGCTTC